ACGATCTGCATGATTTCCCATCATTTTGATGTACCACACTCGAGACTGCCAGAGGACCCGTTCTTTCACTTTGTGGCCTTCCTTCATGAACTGCATCCGCTCACATGGGCCTGGCACTCAAGGGACTGCACACCAGTGTCCGTTCCGCCCACTACGTTGTCCGATACGTTTCATGATCAGCTGACTGACATCAATCAAGCTCTACATTTGATTGAGCATTCATTGGCCCAAGATTGGCAACTGTGGTGCGCTCTCACCCGTTTCGATGGCCGACGAGATGTTTGCAGACGATCAGAGCTTTACGGATCTCCTCGATGCATGCGCACAGAACGTTGGCAAAAGACCACGGGTTGCTACGGATGGAACACAGAGACCTGGCAAGGGTCCTGCAGCCAGATTCTCTCCATCCTCGGCCTCCACGTTGTCTGGAGGCAACGACGACCTTCTTCGTATGCTTGCCCGCCTGACTCTGAGGCAGGAAGATGCCATCTCCCAACTTCAGCTGGACAAGAGCTTTATGTTCTTCATCCAATGCGGCAGAGGGAGCATCATGCCGACTTTGTTGACCCAAGCCAAAGAATGGAACCAGCTAAAGGAGAAAGGAGAAGCCACCATGCCTCTGAGGATGCACATGTTTCTGCAGTGCTTTCAGCTCCTTGCTCAGAGAGCTCAACTCTTGAAGCTCGATGCAAGCGACGACGCATTGGTATTGAATCTGAGATCCAAAGGCATCTTGACAGAGGACAGCAAATGGGCATATCTCTCTTGGGACAGTCAAGCCATGATGCTCAAACCAAATCGGATGCCACCCCTGACCTCGGAGGAGATTCGCTCGCTGTTGGAACGAATAGCACATCTCGGCCAGCAACCTGGAGTGATTCACAAGTTCTCGGCTTTGCGACCGGTCAAGCAGGACACCCTCCCTCAGGACGCCACGACTGCAATACCATGGCGCTTGGACCTCAGCCTGAGGTCTCCCGAGGCATCCGAACTCTTCCAGCTTCTTCAGAAGCTAGCTGGAAATGGAATCACACAGTTGATCCTCCTTCGGGTAAGGGGAGCCAACCTGCAACGCTCTCCTCTAGCCAATGCCATCTCCCAACGATTGAGGAGATCGTGACGGGCATCCTCGAGACCAAACTGGGTGGCTCCGGCAGCACTTGCTATATCAACAGTGTTCTGCAGGCCCAAACCTGGAGTAGCGTCATGAGCTTGACCTTCAATACAGCCATTTGGGGAGCATGGGAGAAACAATTTTTGAGCATGTTCGTTGAGCATGCAGGGGCTGTTGTGGACCCATGTGCAGACCAGTTTCTAGGCCGCCTGCTTGTAGACTGGTTCCAGAACCATCCATGTCGTGATCAGCATGATGCTGGTGAATTTGCTGGATGGTTTCGACATCGGCTGCTTGAAAAAACGCTCCCACAGTATATGCAGCAGGGTTGGTGCTCTCGTTTGCTGAATTCCACAGAAGATCAAGCAGACGTGTTCGCTCCTGTTCCTATGGCATGTCCAATTGAAGGTCTCATTACCCTTCAGCAGCTGATCAACAACTGGCATCATCAAGAGCCTTTTGTCCATGCTTTTACATGTGACTCCCCTTGGATTTGCATTCAGGTGTCCCGTTTTCCTTTCATCGGCCAGAAAAGCCATTGTTCGGTTCTATGGGATAGAAGCCAGCCCGTGCAGGTTCCGATTTTCAGTGATCGCCAAGGCATCCATGTTGAGTGGCATGATTTTGTCGTGACCGCGGGGGTCATTCACCTGGGTACAACACCCGCCGAAGGCCATTATCGTAGCATTCTTTGGCACAGTGGCACAGTCAAGTCTTGTGATGACTTCCGAACCGCCCTTCCTTTGGGTGTCGACCCGGACATTGCATCCACTATCTACCTCCTTTGGATCATCCCCAAGTCTTGCACAAGCCAGCATTGGAAACGTCCGTTGCCTATGAAGCCAAAGAGTTTTGATGAATTGCTCAACGATCGCTTTGCATAAGCACGCCTGTTTTTCGAACCTGGTGCCTTGACACTCCCGAAGTGTCCGGCCTGGAGAAATCCAGCTGCGGCCCAACACGGGCAACCAGCACGGTTGCCGGCAGATGAAATGAATGAAAAATGTTGCTTTTGCTTTTGTAAGAATGTAAAAGTGAAACAACACGTGGCAATGGGCTCAATTTCTGGTAGTTCCACGCAAATCATACTTATTATTACTTAGGATCTAGGATTAGTTTAATTACTGATGTTTTCTGTAATGTATTTGCAAGGGAAGATTTCAACACTGATGATATCAACACAGCACAGTTGGTAATGATGTGGATGTATTGCACAAATACGGAGTGGTTGTTCCAATTTAGAATCAAGGTGCGTTTGATGTCATTGCAGTCAATGGAACCCTTACAAAAACAATCAAACATGGTTGCTATGCTAACATTATATGCAGTGAGAATGTGGCTAAATACGATGTTTTATCAATACAATGATGAACGATAGAACTATACAAGACAAAGGAACATACAGCCTTTGCAGTGATATTTGTGTGAACCCAGTATCTGTGCGGGTATGTTTGTTTGTTCAAAAGAGTTGAGGCAGATTCAGAAAATGGAAAAGTCATCTTCAGAGGATAGAATACAGTATTGGCATAGTGCTTACCTATAGCAAAACCATCAACCCGCTAACCAAGCCACCACAGGGGTCATCAAAGACTTCAGAGAGGATTGCATCTGTTGGCACAACGACTCCTGACACAGCCAACTGCATTGGTCGAACGTGCGGTTGCGGGTCTCTTCAATTGGTCTCTGAAGAATATCGGGAGAGTCTTTCTTGGATCTGATTCTAGATTCTAGTATATACACACACCGATCTTGCATGGATACGGTCGGTGGCATGCTTGATGCCAAAACATCATTCATTTAAATACTGTATTTACAGTATAGATATTTAAAAACTTGTCCTGGCCTGCAGAAACTTGTTTCTAAAGTGTGAGGAAGGTAAGTAAGCAAAGACTATGACCAAGATTGCTAGTCCTTTCATCCACCATCAGCCCTCCATACTGTACCCTTGTACCGACTGTTGGCTGATCTCATTTGCAGAAGTCCTATCTCGACAACACTTAAATACGCTACGGTATAATGAGGATGATGCATAACCTTGTATGGTTTCCCTGCAGGGGTTCCAGGTGTACCTACCTACAAGCAGCTCCCCAATTTCCCCAGTCTGGTACTTCCTCCCTGTCTTCCCATGTCGGGCAGTGTTCATGGAGACAGAGGGGTCCCTTTGGACTCAAGTTCAGTGGCACCGGAGACACGAATTCCTTTTCTCGCTTTGTCAAGTGTGCCTCGTCGATCTGTTTCCTTTTGCGAAGCTGGAAAGACGGCTTCGCAAAGTAGAATGGATTCTGAATTCTCAGAGAGTATATTGCATTCAAAGGTCAGTGCATCACTTGGTGGGCGCACAGAAACAAGTATATATTGGGAAGGAGAGAACTCTACACTTCTTGATGACTGACCATAGAGTGAAATGAACAACATATGTTCTTGAAGACTGACCATAGAGTGAAATCTCAATCATGCCAGAAGAAAGGATGACCAACCCATTGAATCATTGCAAGGCAAGTTGTTGTCCAAACTCGCTGGAGTTGCTGAAATCCTGTTTTGTTTTTTCAGAGATGTGTACAGGGTATGGCATACAGTCATACATATTAAGTCAGGTGGAACATGGTGGCCGTAGTAAGAAACACTGCTGAACTTCCAGGAATGGACAACAACCAGTGGAATTTGCTTCCCTGCTTAAACGAAAGTTTGCGATCAACGCGTGTGTGGCATACAGGCAGGATGACGCACAACCGCAATAATACCAAAGAAGTTGCGATGTATGCTATATAATATACCTAGACCCGGTCTGACCTATCTTTTTTTGTCATTTCCTGTTGACATAGGGGATTACGCCCCTTTCATGTGATTTACGTACCTTTCATATTTGTACGTCCCTTTTGGATTTCTCAGATTTCTGAGATTTCTGATGCTGCAGCAGCCTGCTCAAAAGAAAGCCTATGAATATGAAACAATTTTTGAACAATTACAGTCACTACAATTTGATGTTGTTATGTTGGAGGCGGGGTTGAATGTTTAATTTGCGATGTTGATGCATTACATGTCTCCGTCTTAAGGGCATGTTTTGCCCATTGATAGAGTTGCTGCATGGTATTTAAAATAGTATGCAGCCACACACCCTGTACTTGTACAGAGTCGCTAAAGCAGATGGCCATTTTATTGTTCCTCTAGCGACTCTAGCCTTTATTCAGGGGCCGAAGTGCTTTGGTGTTGTGAGTGCAGCAAACAGCGGGTTGTCACTGATGGCTGGCCTGGTGCCTTCCATTGCAAAAAAAAGCTTTGTTCTTGGTGTTTGGTACTGTGCAGTGTGGGGAACTAGGATTTATACTAGTTTCAACCTCGAGCTCATCGTCATTTTCATGGACCACTTCAGCATCTGAGTAAAAATAGAAACGGTATTTGCTATTTTCTCGCCATTTGGCCTGCTCAAGTAGGCATCCCCACGTAGGCAACCTTCTGCATGGCACAATTAGGCTTGTGTAGGCTGGTGCGTCAGAGCCTTTACGCGTATAAGCTCCAAGGACCCCCAAAACAATACTCTATTGCACTCACAGATGAACGGTTTTTCAGTGACAAGTGTGCCTTTTAGAAGGCAGAAAGTGCCGCTCGTTATCTTGCATAAGAGAACCTCCAATTGATGCGAGGCTGAACCAGCGTGCTTTCAAGAGAGGTCACTGAATGTTGTTTCGCATGGATATCAGATATAAATATAAATATATATATATATTTATATGTACATGTATATTTGAACACATTGCGTTTCTACTGTAGGCCCGGGATGGAACAATAAACGCACACATACAAAATATAGAGAAATATGATGTTTTTTTGCGGTGAAAGCCTTACGGTCCGTTGCACCTCGCACCGACTGCCGGTGACTGCTGCTCAGTCTCTTCCGCCCCTCGGCGATCCCCTCGGAGCGGCGGAACCGGAGCACCACGGCACTGGGCCGGGACGGCCCAGCACGATGGAGAGACGACAGGTGGCAGAGATGGGAAGTGATCAATGCGACCAGATGACGGACGATGGGTGGCAGTGGAGATGGGAAGTGACAGATTTAGTGGGGTCGACCAACACCTTGCAGCAGTCAACTGGATGAAGTGTTTGCAGAAATTGTTTCGCTGAACCACTGCGCATCGATGAAACATTGAAGCATTTGGTAGGGACCGCTGGATTTCTCCACAGGTAAGACTGCGTAACGGCAGATTTCACATCAACGGTTGCCAGGCTCCGTGACTACAGCAATGATGGTTCTGTAGTGTATTGTGCAAGTTCTGATGCTCATGGGGATGAGGAAACTCTCAAGGAGTTTTGTTGTCATTTGCAACATGCCCAAGTGATTAATTAAAGTGATCAAGATCTCCTGGTTTTAGGAACAGCCAGCCCTGCCAATCGCTGACCAGCGAAGCTTTGACTTTGGCACCATGTTCGGTTGAATTTGGTCCATTCTTAAGAAACTCCATTTTGAGGATGTTTGACCGTTCTTGTCCTCAAACACCAGCCGATTTGGAGGGACCTGAACCCCAATGATTATATTTGTTTTTGTGTGACTATATAACCCAGATCTTTTGGGGCTGAACTGGCTGAAACGATTGATGCCTTTGAGAGCCCAGCTTGCTTCTGGTTTCTTCAACAAAGTGCACACCTCACAGGCAATTCCTTGGAGATCTTGCTGGGTAATGTGCTGGCGATGATCATTTCTTGGCACCTCGTCCTGCAGCTAATCACCACGAAGGAACATAGTTGCTTGACCCCAACAGCCACCGACATATTTGTTTAACATTTTGTTTCCAGTCCAGCCTTTTGTCTCAACATACTCCAATTTTTCAATACACTCCAATTTGTTCAAAAAAGGCTTAATTAGCTGGCATTTGGGGTGAAGCTTTCAGCTTGGTCAATACGAACATAGGGGAAAGCAGCAATGCAACCCAAAGATCGACTCAACATGCACTGCGCCGTTTCAAGCAGGTAGCCTCCATTCACTTTGCAATCATGGCAAGGGCACTCACAGCAGCACCAACAGCGCACGAATATCAACAGGAAAGGTACGAAGTTAGCAAGAACACCAACAATATTGATAATGATTGATCACATTGATCAGCAAAGACAAGCAGCAAACCGAAGCCTACCTACCACCTTACCCACACCAACAACAACACCAAGACCCAACAAGCATTGGCACCATGAAAGTCAACAAATTACTGCTACCATGCACAGTTCGACCTTCCGTTGGGCCCCTATTCAAGTCATTCGAGTCATTTCGACCTGTGCCAGGGTGACCTTGTGGGTCTTCGCGCCCGACAGCCTGGCACAGGCGGGTTGGGTCCGAGGACCGTTCCTATGACGCACGGACCGTGCGGACCGCAGAGTAGCTAGGTGGTGAATCATGGCTTGTATAGGTCCAAAGTCCACCAAGCAGGGCGTATGTTTGTTGCTGTGTACTCACAGAATTGTTTGAAAAGTAGGTCAGAGGCACTCTTTGCTGGACTTGAGAGGATACAAATCGAGCAATTGATCTTCAGGGTTTCAGTCTCATTTCAAGCCTAGGTGAGCCGCAGGGGTAGTGTGACAAGCAGTTGAACCCTGCTGCCTGACTTCCAGTGGTCCAGAAGATCCTCACTAAGCCACTCAAACTGTGGGATCTCAACACAAGATAGACAGTATATAGTCACTCAGCCCACTAATCCACTCAGCACATCCAGAAGCAGAAAAACAACAAGACTTTGGGGGACATCCAGCAGCAAGCAGGAGCGGCTGCGCCAGGTTGGTCGGATCTTCCCAGTTCTCTCGGTGACTTTGCTGATGGTGATCTTGTGCGTGCTTCTTGGCTGAGAGATTGTGTTTGATTCATCAATCAAGCTTTGCCATTGGGGTTTGCAAGATTTCGCTGGGCAATTCCTCGTGAACCGTTTGTGGGTGGAGCCACAACGCATGACCTTCAGTAGCTCGGCTCTACTTCCCAAGAAAAGAGGTGTGCCGGGCACCACCCACCCCCAAGCCGGTGGGAGCCTCACCCTGTTGTTGTGCAGGTGAGCCACCGTTTTGCTGTTTTCGTCAGGATAAAGGAGTATACCGTATACCTCTATATAGAGTTCTGTCCCGGAATGAACCACTCACAGTGCGGTCGGGCATGGTCAGGCTTACTCTACTCTTGGTTCAAGAACCTCTTCCCCCTTTGGTTCAGCTATAATCACCTACTACATCGACCCAGTCATCGACTCATATAGACAGATCTCGTGCCCAGGCAGGATATGATTCCCCATTCTTTGTTTGTTAATGCATGTAGAGCTATAGTCTTCCTTCGGTGAATTTAGCGACCGGCTCCACAGCTCAGGCTGCCTGTCCTCATCCTCTTTGGCTTGGGCTCCTCCAGGGTGCCATGTCGTGGGACTGGGCGATGTTGCCCTGGGCAAACCGCGGTTGGCGCGCACTGATCTATGGGACTTGGACATATGAACAGATGGAATGACCAAGGTCATGCAAATGCGACTGTGGGGACAAGGCGTCATTGGTTCTTTTCTTTGGAGTGTCAGGGAATTGCCAGTATTTTATGTTGGACTTTGCTAATGATGGTGATAGATTCCATGTTGACAGCCTACTGTTGACGGGCTAAATCAAAGGCTCCATCCATACTTTCGTTGTGGGATTAAAGACCGAGCATGAGGAGTCCAGTTAGTTCCAAAATGCTCGCTTTTGAAGTGGTTGGCAATAATAACACACGACACGAATCGATTTAATAAACAACCCTGTCACCCTCCAAATTGGACACAACTTCCAAGAGTTGGACCTAAACCCACGGTACTTGGGTCACTGAGGCCTTCTGAGTTGGGAGGAGATGCATTTGTCCTTTTGAAGTCAGAGTCCTTTTTGAGGGACACAACTCCCTGAAATAATCATGGATGTCCAAGTGGATGGCATTGCCCCGAGTCTCCGAGTTCGGACGACCATGAAATCCGAAGACCAAACAGCTGCTGCCATCCGCTTCCATGACTATTTCAGGCTGTGTAGCTTTGTAGATGTTGGACGCCTTTGAAGCACAGCCAAGCTCAGTTGAATGGCGGCTGGTCTTTTGTTCCCGTGAGCCGTGAGACGTGTGCAGGTTTGGCGGCAAGCCATGTTGGCCTTCATGGGTGCCATCACAGGACCAGGGGTATTGGTACGCCAAGGGCGGTGGATTTTGGACAGAGCATCCAACAAGGATTCGATATGGAAGGTGAGCATTCGCAAGTAGAGCAACTAAATATTCATGATTCATGACAGTTACATAGTTCATTGTTATTGACCTGACCAGTGTTCTGGGAATTTATGAGTGTTACCCTACAACCCCAATCTTCAAAACCACTTGCACTCATTCCATCCATCCTTTCCTCTACTTTCAACCTACTTTCACCATACCAAGCTTTAAGAAAACACCACCCATGCAAGGCACACAACTCACCCTCCCCGCCGAGCCACGGCCGTTTTGGGACCCTTCCCGAGACCCGCGGCAGGCTGGAACCGCCGCTTCGGGGGCCCCGCCTGCAGCTTCCCAGAGCTGCGGAAGCCAGAGGAGCCGGTGGCAGGTCCGCGAGGTCCATGACCACGCATCCTGAAGTCATGGGTGGTGTTTAACCTTCTTGGTCTGAGAGACCTTGCGCGTGTGCGGTGTGTCCCTTCCAATAGTATTGACCCCGCCCCACTGGGAATAAAAGATAGAACACACCCGTGTGTCAAGATGTTGAGGTCCACTCTTAACGTTGCCATGTTAGGGCTATGTATTTTGCAGAAAAAGGTGCTAGGTCACCTCCAAATTGGTTCCTTGTAGCCTTGTTGAACCAAATCTCATCGAAGTGCAGGACTTGCAGCGATTTGTCCCACAAACCTCGCTCCGGGTGCTGAATGCATTCTTCAGTCATTGTATAGGGCTGAGCCTGATGGTCCGAACTATGGAAATGTAGAACAGCCATCGTCACGAGGCTCCACGACTCACGTGTTGCATGGATGTTGGCCATGATATTGTGACATGGATGGCCTACTGACGACAGGTTTCATTGAATCCATCACATCGACATCTTACTTGCTTGAGCGATATGGGAAAACCACGTGTCAATTTGATCTCCTGTGGAAAAGTCAGCTGCCAAACTATGATTGGGGGGAGTCACTTTGAAGATCTTTGAAGCGCCGCTTTGGCCAGCCTCAATTTGACGGATGGAGATCTATATGTCGTTCAAAGAGGAGCTCAGGAGGCAGTCCGCTTTGCCTCTGTGGCGCTCTGCGTTCGTCATAGATCCAGTGAATGCCGCTGCATGTTTCAGGGCCTCAGGCTGTAAGTCATCAAGCTACCAGCCGTTGGCGCCAGCTACGCGCCTTGTCATTCTTTGTATGGTTTGGCGGACTTGTGTAGACTAAGTTTAAATTCACTGGCCTGCGCCGCCTGGCTGCTTACTGGATATCAACCGACCTGTTGTGTTGGGTGCTGAAGATTCCAGACTGGCTCTGCATGTGTCAGTTTCCCTGTTTTCCGGCGCCTGGAAAGTGCTGTTGGAGCAGTAGAGTCTGGAAAGGCCTTGCTGTGGTAACTTCTGGTGCTTTGAGAAACTTAGTGTGCTTCTCTGTAGCTTCCAGCTTTTTGCCCATGTTTAGAAATTCTTTGCTCCTGTCTTGCTTGTCCTTTTGCTGGAACTTCGCATAGACCGTTTGCACTTTTTCCGAAGATTCTGGTTTTGCTGCTTTGTGGCAGTTCTGTCATGATATTGAGGCCAAAGTGGAGACCCGGAAGACTGATATAGGCTGATGCCGGCTGCTTGTTGGTATGTGTGCCATGTTTGCTTTGTTTTGCGATCAAAGGGAGTAAATTGCTCCTATATTCCGCTTGGACCTGTGGATGGCCTTGGGGTCTGCAAGCCGTCGGGCTGGCCAAATTCTGAACGGATCTGGTAATGATTACCCAAAAGGATGTTTGCAGGATCTGTCTCAAAGTTGTATTATTCTACATCGACTCGCAGCTTCCTGCGACTTCATGTGATTGTTTTATATGGTGTTGTTTCCCGTCACTGTTGGGACTCAAGTCCAAGGTACTGTACCCTTCGGAGTCCCTCCTGACCCCCACCGGGTCACCGGCAGAACGTCCGAGTCCCGACACCGCAGGACGACGATTTGGAGGTGAGCCGATCCATCAAGGTTCGATCCGACGCGACCTGACCATGCTTCGCCGGGGTGAAACATGTGGCAACAGAGGTACCAAAGGCATCCGTTGAGTTGCGAAGGTGCGGAGTACTACATGTGACTCAAAGAGATCGCTTGTTGAAGCGACCAATCTTTCTTTTTTGGGGGGGAGGAATGCCATCTAAGCTTATTAGCAGGGTCCTGCAGCTTCTGAAAAGTCCTTGTGTCAGCCATGCACTCCTGTTGGTTCAAAAGTCCGAGCTGTTGGGCTCAAGGCCCACGAATCCAGTGCAAGCACGTTTCCCGTTCCAAACTCTGCAGTTTCAGGATCCTACTGGTTCGACCACTGGAAAAGAAGATGAAAAAAGGGAATGCAGAAGAAGGCTACTGGGTTTTGAACTGTTTTGATTTAGTGATATTGGACTGTAGTTATCTATTATATAGTGTCTTTTTTGCTGTTTTGATCATTTGAACTGCCACAGCCACATGTGTGACTCGGGTTGTTAGTTTTGCCCTTGCCGATTCGGAGGTGGTTTTCTGGTTTTCAATTAACTTGTAAGACCCCATGGCATTGGGGGAAACATGTTCAGCCTTATTCAGCCTTGGACGCTTGACCTGTTGAACTTAGAATTCAGCACTTGGAACCCAAGCTGAAACCTGCTCCCTTTAGCAACCTGTTAAAGGGGACGAAGCGATCCACTCCAAAGGCGATCTGCCTGGCTCCGGCAGGTTCTCGGCTGGCCCTTCACTCGCATTGCGTACACCCGGCGAGTGAAAACGAGGAGAGCAGATGTTTTCGCGTCCTTCTTGTACCATCTGTTGGACCTATTTGCAGTGCTGTTCTTTTGAAAACTTGCCTTTTAGGATCCATATTGGAATTTCTGATTGCTCAGAAGTGTGAAGTGTTTGACTTTCCAAGATCTTTGTTCATTGACTCACGTTGATTCTGTTTTGGAAGCTCCGGTCGTTGGAGTCGTAAACAGCAGAAAGGGCCTTGGAAGACTTCAACTTTCCTTAACTAAAACCGGCTTCATATGTGTTCATATTCTATAGTGGTCTCCAAATAGTGGCACGGTTTCCAATACATTATTAGTGGGGATCTACTTTTCTATGCCCAACAGTTTTAAGAACTTGACACATGGCATTTCTCCTTCCTGCGCAATCTGGGCACTTGGTTGTCACTGCCTACCCATCCAACCAGCTATCCAGCTGCCAGGTCTTATTGGCGTGCCCACCAGGCGTGGGATGGGAACAGCTCAATCTCAGCAGCTTCCCCACCAAGCTTCCCAGACATAAAAGTAGTATAGTAGTACGATCCTGAATCCTGGATTATGTTGTTGGTCGATGTTGGCTGTATTTTTTTCACTATATAGAATACTATAGATATCTATAGACATTTGTCCGTATGTTTGCCTGGTTCATTGTTGTTGAATAATGCTCGTGATGCTACTGTTTACGTGTAGCAATGCAAACATCGTAGCACGTTTGGCATGCATTGATCTGGTGCTTGTTTTGTAGGAGGTGTGATGATAGCTTTCATTCAAAGGCACCAAACAGTCTGTGAGGTGACTGCCAGCCGGAAGTGAATCCGCCTGCCAGCCGGTATAGTAGGTCATCGCAAATGCCATTGCGGCGCTGTGATACGCATCGCTGCTGGGTGTGGGTGCAGCTTGGAACAAAAGGAACGCGAGCCAACATGATTTTAACACAGTTTAACATATTTTTACTGGTTTCATTGTGTCTCCCACCAGCAATGGTCATATTGACAAGCTCCTGATGTGTGCTCTACCTTAACAAACCTTTTTTTCATGTATATATATGAACATGGCTGGTCTTAGTCTTTTATACAGTTTTTTTTGATGGGGGGGTGTTTCCCTTTGAAGACTTGCTCACCAACAATTTGAGGTTCTCTTGGTTGAGGCGTTCAATTGGAGCACATCTTTGGCAATTTGCTTCAGAACCAAAGCACCCAGAAATGGTAGTAGGAGTATTTCAATAGGGAGACCCCTGGCCCAATGGGTAGACTGCCCTATTTTCCGACCCCTCCCGGTTGCCTGGGAGGCCTTCCAACACGTATGGAGCCACGAACGTCGGACCGCCTCGCGCTCGCCCTTGAGCGAAGCGAGGGGAGGTCCAAGCTGTGACCCTGACCCCGTGTATCTCGTGGAGACATGGAGTTGACCCTCCAGAAACAGTCAGTGTGACAGAGTAGCAAAGGAGGAGAGCACGATTGATTTGATCGCATTGCTAGACCTCGCTTGCCTAGTGCCAGCAACATGAAGACATCTGAAAACGATTCTTTCACATGATGCACCTTTTTCTTTAGATCATGCCATGTAGGCTTGCACCCTCCCTTAGACCATATTTTGGGTGGTCAGATGTCCGAGAATGCTCGGTGTTCAAGGTGCTGCATTGTCTTCTGGCTGCCTTTTGGTCGCCTTACTAATTGGTGCTTAAACCCGGTGGATCTCTAACTAAGAGTGGAGGTGTCCCTTTTTGTGATGAAATTCAACTTCAATGAAGGGAGATACGTGTTCCTCTTTTTGCAGAGGGTGCACTGGGTGCACAATCCTTTATGTTGAATTTGCAATGGATAATGATCATTTTTTTCTACAGGTTTCCACGATATAAACAGTCCAGGCCATTCGGCACAAAGACGCATCACTTCCTTCACCATGATGAACCGGTGATCTTTCGGAGTGGTGAACTCCATGTTGCCATGACTTTGGAATCCATTGGAATCCACCGCACCCGACCACCGCGCGCCCCTCAAAGGGGGGTTTCCGGAGTCGGAGTCCGGCGCATATGTCTGCTTTGCGCTGCGGAGTTGGCGGCGCAGACCGAGCTCTTTTTGCGCGAAGAAACGGGGGGACCATGCTGGCGGGGAGGTGGGCTAAGCACGGAGGGATTGGGATCTGCAGGAAGGCTAAACCTGGCTGTCGATTTCAGATATTGGTGAAGATCCTCTCGGTGAAGGGCTCTATCAGCAGGTTTCGGTGGGTTCATAAAGTCCTTTGCATGGTGTAGAGTAGATGGTGTTGGCCAAAAGTCAAGTACCTTGAAAATTCTGGTGGACCCAGTCAGTTCTGCTTGTGGACTAATTTGTCATGAATCAGCAGTGTCTGATGAGGCCAGTACGAAGCCACTTTGAACACAGTGGATGATGCATGGCTCAGATTCGATGTCTGTTGGTGGTCAAATTCTCAGGATGCAACGGCTTTTTTCAGCCCATCTTTGCGCGCTGCACTCTGATTGTTGCTTGTACTGCTTTTGATGTATCCCCCATTTGAGAGAATCCGGACACAGTCCGCAAGCGTGGTCAAGCTTCTAACCTGAGTGGGCCCGCAAGGGTTTCCCTGAGCTGCATTGGAAAGTGAAGAAGTGGACCCACACATTCCCTGCTCCACGATTTCGCCCGCCTCGAAAACAGGGTCGTGCCCTCCCAAACGTGAAATGTCTCCAGGTACACCAAACCATATCCCCCCCCGACTTTCCTCATATGCTCCATGTCGTGCACCGATGGTTTCGGCTCAACCCAGCGTCTGTTCTCGGACGCCTCGTCCTGATCCGGCTTCGCCTGGATCGTTCATGAAGATCTAATAGCTGGAGCCTTAGAGACCAAATTTGAGTCACCCCTGCTTGCTCCGCCAAACCGGAGAACTCCAGGACCTCGCGACTCACTTCTTTAAAAGAAGGGGAGAAACATCTCCCTAACTTCTCTCTTTTCTATACTCTGGCGTTTCTGCTTGGAAGATGCGCCAATTCCCGGCCACAAACCCCGCGCTGCTCAAATCAGATTGCTTTCGGCTTTCACAGGTGTCGTTCCAAAGATTGCGATTTCTGGAGGATGAGCAACCCCATTGGGCCTGTAACGTCATTGAGGTCCAAATGAAGGCCTGGCAGGTTTTCCAAAACTGGGAACTGGAGAAAAGAAATCTACAATCACTGGCACTGGATGTGAAGGTGTGTCACACACGGTGTGTCCACGGTTTCATGAACCGTAAGACGTTTTGTGATGCTTGCCCTCGGTGAGCATCTCAAGTTGCTTTGGTCCCAAGAAAGTCATTTAGTCAAGATGTATCATGTATGCAGAACTCTGAGTTCTATCATGTATACATGTTCTATCATTCTCATCACGCATTCAGAATCTTCAACTCAGACCACCGAGTTCATAAATCTTGACATCTTCCAACAATCTTCTAAACATCTATTCTGCCCCTGGTGATTCTGAATTCTATCTACCTCTCACCTCTCACACCTTCCCCATACCTCCTGGCCCCGCAACTCACCAGACCCCTCCGGCTGCGCCCGCCCTCCGAGGCGAACTTCAGCACTTCGGGGCGCCGACGCTCACAGAAACCGCCCGGCCGAACCGCCCCCACCCGTTGAAGCACCGAAAGACACCAAGCCCGGGGGCCTGGTGCCGGTGAGCTGCGGGTGGGTGACTGAAGGAAGAGTTCTTAGGGAATGGGAAAGTGACAGACTTAGAGAGTGGCAGGTTTTTAAATGTGTTTGATGTGAGTTGCTACAATTTGTTCCATCAACTCGGAATGAGTATATGTGTGAATAGCTCACCCTGGTGAGCTAGTGGTAAGGAGGAGCAAACTGAGTACTTTTGAGGGACAGTTGGAAGAGGCGCGGTTTGCTTCTGCGTTGACCTGTGAGGCCAATAGAGGACATGTTCGGGAAGCTCGGTCGCACGTGGCACGTTTGGGCAATTGGGCGTGTCACAGCGAGGGGAGTTGGGAATTCCTTCATTGGGAGATCGCCGGAGTGGCAGGTAGACGAATTTCAGTGCTGAAGGATGATCCCCCTTCGCACTCGGCTTCTATGACAGCTCATTAGCCCAGGTGGTGTAGGTGGCATCGTTGGTGTGCCACATTTCGAGTGAATGTGAAGCAACAGCAAGATGATCAAGCGCCCGGACTGGGTGGTGCTTGGCAAGGAATGAGGGAATGAGGACCCAAGATAGATTCCTTTGAATCCATTCCCTCATTCCCTTTCTACTTCTAAGCACCACTCAGCGAAGTATCATGAACCCTCAAAGAATGAATGTTTTGTGGGTTTCAACAAAGTCAAAACGGTTCCAACCATAGTTAGGACAGTTTCACTTGTTCCAAGAGACCCAGGTTCCGCGACTTCAATGCGAGTTTTGATGAAGTGATTTTGATTTGTTGTGTCTCTTGACCTCCTCACTTGCAACTCAACTGACTGTATTCCGCACCTCCTGATGGTCGGGAATCCACATGCCAGCACCGCTAGTTAAGCCTGCCTCAGGTTCTAGAGGCATTTTCAGGAGAACTCAAACTTCTCTTCCCCACAAAGGAAGAACCTCGGCATCCTGTTGACGTTGGCTTCAATTCCTCTTGCAACTGACCTGTTCTAATTGCTCTCAAGAATTGATAGGAGGTGTACGATATTGTTTCTGTCTATTTGGGGGTAACTTACTCAGGGGACCCAGCACGTGCTCCGCATTCGGAGCTGAACTATCCAACATGAATCACAAGCATCGCTTCATCTGCATGATGCACTTGACCGTCAGCCGTGCTGAGGGTCAAAGATGACTTTCCCACACCGGGCTGGGAGGAGCAGCACGGGGGTGGGTTTGGTTTTTGAATTGGGTGGCTTTGGGTAGCAAGACATTGGTTGAGTGCCCCCCAAGTCGATGAGGTGATGAGGTGATGGCAATCACTCACTGGCTTTCGCTAACGTCAGATGAGGTGATCACATTGGTGAGTTCCCATTGGTCAGTTAAAGTCATTGATTCCTAAGGGGTTGTGGCTTTGGCTTTAACTGGCTTTTGCTGACGAACGATTCTTGGTGGCCTGACAAGCTCTCAAAAAGTTTATCAAATCCCTTTTACATAGGTTTACGGACCCCTCACCAATTCTCCATACAGATTCCAACACCTGTCACCTTGACACGCAAAACACATCCAACTGGACTAGTGACTATGGCCGCATGGCCGCAAACCGTGACACTTGCGAAGCGCAGGAGCGCTTTCCCGAACCGCTGAAGTTCCTTCCAGTCGCCTTTATCTTGGCCATGATCATTGGCCCCTTGGACGTGTTCGCGCGTTGAAAACGCCATGCGTTGGGCGGCACGTCTTTTGCATGACCAACCACCCCTGACATCAGGCGACTCTTTTTTTTTCCGCGGGTGGTCGTTGAAGACCTCGAGTGTTCATGTTGAACTGGGGAAAAGCAGGACATGGTGGTGGGAAGCATGTGCCATGCGAGAGCCTCGCCTTTACTGACTGAGGCCTTTATCTCATCTACACGACTTTCCACTTGGGCCCTCGCTTTGAGGAGGGCCGGTGCTATGGGGAAGACGTGGGTGAAGGCAACATCTGGAGAAGTCTGGTTCCATGTAGTTCCTATAAGAGCTGATGCTTCTACCATGAGTTGAGAAGGAACTGCATGGAGTGTGCTTGGTAGCAGATCAAGAACCCATCAGACAACTATTTTAACTAAGTGTTTGATGTCAGGAACTGGAGGAAGTTGTCTTCGCCATGAATCCTGTGCCCATGTATTTGCCACTAAGCGCTTGCGCTTTGCACCCCGTTCACTGGCGCATGGAAGGGTCGGCGTGGGAGCGTGCCCCATCAACAAGCAGAAGCAGGAATTTGGAATATCACCTTCAAGCCAGTGTTCCAACTGCTGGTGCACACGTATCACCACAAACAACTCCACT